TTAACCTTCCGTTAGTCGCGCACTTGTTTCCGACATGGTTAATCGCGTTGCACCTATGAGGTGTTTCTGATTTTTTGAAAGCCAAATGAAATTTAGTCTAGTTTAAATAGTTAATTGTTACCAATTTAAGACTCTTTAGAGAGATAAATATCAAAAAACTTATTTAGCGAAGTACCGAAGATAAATTTTTCTTGCTCCCGCGTCGGATCTCTTCCTCCATCACAAGATGTTCAACCAATTGACGCAAGAAGGTTCTGCGGTTTTTTACTCCGTAACCATTTTCTGTGTATATAACTTGACCATTTATACCTGCTACGTTGAGAAGGACAGAAAATGAGATAAAATATATATATTTAATTCATAAAAATATTATATCCATAATACTTGCGTCAATGGTCGCGCTGCACCAGAGGGGTGATTTGAGCGGTTCCAACTCTCCATCGACATGTTCTAAGGTCGGTTTTACACGGACATTTGAGTAATCCAAAGTTAGGAACATAACATTAGGCTCGACCCCCGGAAAAATCTATTGACGGCAAAGGAGGTGGAAGTGCAGTAGGGATGCACCTGTGAGGTGCGCGCGACTAACGGAAGGTTAAATAAAAAAGTGTTAGCATAGCAAAAAATATAATAAGAAAAGTTAATACCTTAGATGCAGAATATGCAGCCATGAGAGGCAAAGGATGAAAAGATGATATGGATGACATATTAACTATAATGCCTTTTTTCCTGAAATACATATTTAAATTTTAGTTACATGTTCAAAACTAAGAACAGTACATAATAAACAAAAAATAAGCCTGTGCTAGAATTACTATATCAGAACAACTAAACAACATCTTCCATTAATTTTCAAAATACTAGATAATCTATTTAAAAGATTATTTTATTTTAACTTATCCAAATTGAGATTTTTGATTCTAAGCTAATAGCATGCATATAAATTTAAGCAAAACCTTTAATTATTTTTTTTTTAACTTGACACATAGTGATCAAAAGCCCTTCTAAATTTAGTTATTATAGTATAAACTGAAATATTTTAATTTTAAGGAAATAAAATAAATAGTATATTAAGGTTATAAAACATAAATAAAATTCACATAATTAAATCAAAATTTTAACTATTGACTTTATAAGTGCCTTTAAAAAATAGTTGAAAACAAAAAATTAGACAAAAACAAAAGTTCTAATATCAATTAAATATTTTAATCAAGATATTATTACAATAGAAGTTAGTCACCCTAATTACTAACAGACAATGAACCTATCTCAGCTAATTGAAATATTCAGATTATGAAGATTTTTTTAATTTATTATTTCTTTAATTTTTATTTTAAACAAACTGAGCGTTAAAGATGCTTAAAGTTTTTTGCTAGTATTTTTCATACTAAAAAATCAATTTTATATCACTCAATAACAAAGTTGTGTACTGAAGAGAAATTTCTATAGAAACTTGCTCAAATGTGAAACACTTTGTAGATAAAACAAAAAATTCAGAAAAAATAAAACTTATTTTTACCATCATTAAAATTTTAATATTATTACAATTAAAGAAATATCTCAACGTCAATAAAATAAAGGAAGAAATTTCATTTTCAAACTTATTTTACAAAACACTTTTTTAAGGTTTAAATGATTAATAAAATTAAATTTACTACTCATAGAAAGTTAGTTTCTTTCCATAACCAAAGACTCGTTCTATTTTATACCTAGCTCTGTTACTCCCAAACTTTAGAATATTCAGATGTTAAGAATGTTGCAATACCTAGAATTTTGGTAGAATTTCCAATGAAATAAAATGAAAAATTTATAATAAATTAATATTTGGAAAAATTTCAAGAGGTGTGGCTTGATTGAAAAATTAAATTAAAAAAATTAATGGGAATCAACTTCTGTTAATAATTGATCAAATGTTTGGTTCATAATTGGAATCAAATTTTCATAATTGATTTCAAGAAAGAATAATAAATTTAAAAAAAAATTAAAGTTTTTTTCATGTAAGTGTGCTAAAAGCGCCTTCAAGTACATTAAATTTTATTTTTATGAACTTGAAGGCGAAAAAAAGAAACATAGGATCCTGTGTGTTGGCAGGCAGTGTGTCACCTGAAGAAGTGCTGTCTTGCCAACACAGTTTTTTTTTTTAAATTTTCTGCTTGAATAGTAATTCTGAATTTCTACATTAAAATAAAAACAAATTTAGTTTTTTTTAGCTGTTTTAAGCACTTTTCCATTTTGATTTATTATTTTAAATGTTATTTATTTATTGTCTTTTTCTGAATTTGTAAATCAGTTTCATACTTTGATTAAACGCCAGTTTAAAGTTGTAACTTCTCTTATATTTACAGTTTCACAATGGATAATTTTTGGTGATTCTAAATGCTTGTATAGAATATAATTTTAATTGAGTGATTCATTTTTAATTTGGTGGTTTGAAGTTAAAAAAATTTAAAATATAAATCAAGCTTTATAAAGCGCATTTTACTTAATCCTAAAAGAAGATGAATTACATAGGGATGCACAACTTTTATGAGAGAAGGGCCACTTGCACAGCAGGTTGACTAACGAAGGGCTGTATGTATAGTTAGTCATGTTGGCAGGGGCCATGTTTTTATACAAACATTAGTGTTCTAAGCACTAAATTTTTTGATTAGTAGCATATAACATTTTCAGAAAATTAAATTACTTTTAATTATTTGAATTCAATCAATAATGAAAATACTGAAACTTTTTTTCTTTCTTATAAATTTTTGATCTACAAGTAATGTAAATTTGAATTAAATATTTAAATTAAAAATAATTTTAGGTTTCAAACAAAAATTAAAACAGAATGACAAAATAAGATTCAATATTCATTTGGTATTATACTTCAGATATTATTTCTGTTTCCTCAATTATTAGAGGTTTCATGAGTTTTAAAAAGAAAAAGTATCCTTGTTTTTTCCTTGAAAAAAAAATTTAAAACAGAATAAATTACAAACAGAGAGCAGTTTAAAAATTCATGTTTTACTCAAGTTTTCAAATTTTTCAGGTAGCAATAATATTGTATAAGACTAAAATATCACTACTATAAATACCATGTACAAATGCATGGCGTTACTGCCTAAAAAAAATAGAAAAATAACTTTAACTTTAAAACACTGAATATTTAAAAAACATTTGTTATTTCAATAGAGTGATTTTTAACAATTCCTGAATTGTATAACACACAAATATTCATGAGATAAAACAGAATCTTGTAAATCAGCTTTTAAAAGACAATGAAGAGAAAGAGGAATTTACTTATTCCAAAAAAGGAGCAAGCAATGTTTTTAACCATACTTGCTTCAAATAAATAAAACATTCATATAAATGAAAATTTTCAAAAATAAATTAAATACTTAAGATAATATGAAATAATGGAAGCAAGCAAATTGGTTTAAAAGAAAAAAACAATCAAAAATGTTCTGTAATTCTTAAAATAAAAATCGAATTTATCATTATTCTGAATGCAAAAATACAAATAAATAGTAATATAAAAGTTAGATAATAATTAAACAATCAAAATATTAATGATTTTTTCAACAAAGAATAATCCACAAATTTAATTCAATTTTAAAAAACTGCACGAAAAACCAGTTTTGAGAAATAATTCAAAATATAGCAAATTATTTTCGCTTAAAAGTTTAACTCTATGTTTTGATCAAATTCATAAATTACAATATTTACCTTTGTACCATTTGTGGAATAACTATGTATGTCATCATAGTCACGGACGCAATGTTAATGTTAATCAAATCCCATAGTTTCTACAAAAGAAAATTTCTTTACTCAACAAATGTTAGGTTATGCACACAATTGAATATATAACTAAAAGCATAACTCAATATTTCAAGCCTTAGGGACATTCTAGTGATATATGACATTAAAAATTTAATTGCAAAAATAAAAATATTTAGTTTAAAAAGAAAATAAAAATTTTACTTTTTACAATTAACATATACATAAATACTTCAAGCCTTGTCCTTAGTCAAAGACAATTATATAAAAATTTTGAAAAGAGTTAAGATTAATTTTCATTGGAAACTCTTTTTTACTGTCTTAAATATTTTATAATAAATGATGCTAACATTTGATTATATTAGACGACATTATAAAAGGTACTTTGTCTCTTTAAACCATTTTCATAACTATGACACTGTTTTTTATTAAACCTTCCAGCAAAGAGCAAAAATATCCCGTTATTTAGCACAGCTCATATTTTAGCCTTATATTTTTTTAATAACTTATATTTAGTAGTGAAAATGAATAATCTTGAGCTATTAAATGTTTAAACAATTATCATATTTAAATTTCAATCAGTAAGACACAACAATATAAAAGTAGAATTCATTTTAACACCTTGCAGGTATCTAAAAATTTAATGATAGAAGCAAAAACTTAAAATAAGCTTTAATTAAAACAGAAGTCAATACAGTACAGAACCCGTAAATCAGAAAACGGGAACGAAATTCGATAAATTTTCCCGCCATTTTTAAAAAAAAAAATTTTTTTTACTCATAAGCTTTTAGGATTTTTCTTTCTTTTTTGAAAGATGTTCACCTTACCATCATTTTGGAAATAATCATTAGTGTATTACTTCATCGTTTTTTCTTCTTTTTAAGATATTTCCAAAAAATTATTTTTTTTTTTAGTTGGGTTTAGCAATAAAAAAACGGCTTTTTGTAGCGATTCAGAAAACCGGAATAGCGATGGTCCCGATCGTTCCGGATAATCGGTTCCCTACTGTACCTTATTTTACAGAAACTTATATTCGATGAAATATTTTTTTTTTTTAATTAAACTTTTTTTTAACTACAATAAATAATCTTAAATTGTTCTATGATTTCATAGAAAGTACAATACACAAAAATAAATTTCAATAACAAAATCTCATTTTTTCAATCATAAATTTATCATAGAAAAACTAGTTTTCTATTTCATTTACACAGACAGCAATCAGTAAAAGTACAAAAAAAGAAAAGAAAGTGAAGTAATTTACAGAAATTTCTTTAAATATTTTAACCTGCATAGAAAAAATTTATTGAAATTTAAAACTCATTTTTTTTTTCTTTCAAAATTCATAAAATAAAATACCTGATGTAATTACTAATGTAAAAACAACATGAAAATCAAATAATTATGTAATGATTACGTGCAAATAAAATTCATGTAATGTAATAAAATTAAATACACTTTAATTTTTAAAATTTAGACATAGAAGTTTTCAATAGAATAATAATAATACACTATTCAAAAAGTAGACAATTTACCTGCTCAGGAACATTCATAAAACATTCTGGATATTCATACATTACACCAACATTGTTGACTGCAAAAATAAAAAGATTATTGATGTAAATCATTTTCAAAGAACTAATTCCTTCACTTCATTCACCAAAACATAGAAGTAAATAAAATAAATAGAATAATCTTTAATAAATATTAAATACCATTATTATTATAGTATCGTATCTGTGAAGAAATTTTAGACTAAATTACTCTTCCCTCTACTTTTTCTTATTTAAAATGTTGAATGTATTTCTTATTTCTTGACATGAAGATTCACAAAATAAAAATATATCCTAATATCCTTTAATTTACTAACGAAATTGTAAAGCACAACAAATATTTCCTTAATGAATATTAAAAATTTGTGCTCTACAATTTTAGTCCAACATTTTAAATTGTTAATAATTCAACTAGATGTTATAGAAAAATTCAAACAGAACTGTTTTTTTTTTTTTCTACTTAAAAAGTAAACAGAAAATTTTTGAAAGAATGCATTTTGTGAAATTATTTTCAAACATTTCTAATTGTAGAATATAGTTGTTGCATTTGCTGTTTGATGCAAGCTTTTTATAGCTATATATCATCCGAAGAGATTAAAATTACAAACTCCATACCACTATATTATTTAAAAATAATACAGCCAAATAGTAAATGTTAAGCTTTAGTTTTTAAAAATGGTAAATCCTCTATAATTAATTTGAAACTAAACATAACTATAAGCACTACAGTAATTTAAGATAACTTGCTAAGGCCATAATACAAATTTATTTAGTGTGGCAATTGGGACCCCTATATCCACTTACCTTATAATGAGACCAACTTACCTAGTAAGGAAAAATTACAGGGTACATGGAACCCCTCCACTTATTAATAATAGTTTGTGAAAAATACATATTACACCAGGTACTTTAAACTACACAAAATAGTTTCATAAAAAGACAAAAATAATCAGGAAACACCTTTTAGAAAAATGTTGCTTGAACTTTCAAACAAAATTTTTCAGTAAATTAAATTTAAATCAGTCCTATGACCAGGAAAAAATTTTCATGAAACTTAACTATATACAAAACTAATCATAATGATGAAATATGACATGGTCAATGCAAAATAAGTATAAAAGTCAAAAACATATCTCAATTTTGGAGGATGGTAACCAACTTACCCACCCTAACAAGAGATTTAAAAACCAAAAAAAATTACATTTTCCCAACTTATTTAAGAATTTGAGCTAGAAAGCTTACTAAAATTGCTTCCTTTCATTAAGATTCATAAATTTTAAGGTTAAGCTTTACATTAGTTACTTAAGGCAGATACTTTTTGCTTAAACACAAAAGAATAAATTATCAGAGAAATATCACAATTTAATAACATCATATGGACATAAGTATCAAATTTCATAAACCTTCAGTAAAGAATTATATCATACTTTACTAACAACGTACCCCGTGACAGAATCGCAGTGACACGGCGACATTGTCGCAGAACGTTACAGGGTTCTTGCAAAAAAAAATTTTGAAAAGTAAAAAAAAAATTACCTTTATTTTTTGATGGAAATTTACCTGTTATATTTGAATCATGCATTTAGATAATCACTTTTTGACACGCTCAATATACGCAGATAGTATCGTAAATTGATGCATTGTTTTGATTGTATTTTCGTCAGTTATTGATATCGATTTTCACATGGATTTTAAATATCCCGATAAACATGAAAAATTCGAATAGTGTATTTGAGTATTTACTTTTTAAGGCATTACTTTTTTGAGTATTCACTTTTTTTCTTTCTATTCTGTCGTACTTTATCAGTTACGCTATTGATTTCTCCATAGTTTTTAAATCTGATATTTTTCATACAATATTTTTATAAACAACCTAATCAAGAAACGAAACACGCATTAGAGGTGTCCGATTTGAGTGATTTTGTCGTCAATCCCCCCCCCTCCGCGCCAAGTACTACTACAGATTTAATGATTTTTATTTTTTTTTATTGTAATGATTAGTTATAAAAAGCAAAGGAAATAATTTCTGTGCCGCTTCGCTTTTGTTATTTTTGTTATTTCCGCAGCGCTTTTGTTATTTTAAATTAGTACCATGCATGTTTATTATTATGAAAAGAATCTTGCAGAAAGATATTAGTGCTAGAAAGTTTTGTCGCAGATAGCTCGAAAAAATTCTGCCGCAGGAATAACGTAATTTAATAAAATTTAAACTTACAAAATTAAAATTAACTTATGTATGTTACAATTAATTCAATAATTAGATTCTTGTAGGGAATAAAATATTCTAAAAGAGAACAAAAATGTTCTTTTATTTAATATACTTACTCAAAACACCTATTTCTTTATCTTCAAGTTGTTTAGAAATATTACTGTAGATGTCTCGTCCCTTTGAAAAATCAGCTTGAATTGTGAATGTTTGAACTTTAAATTCTTTCTCTATCAGAAAATCAAAAATATATATATTAATAAAAAAATTTATAATTTTTGTCAAAACCTTAAATAATTTATTCCCCTAAATAAGATGTTCAATTAATATTCCACAAGATCTTTTTTCTTTTCTGAAAATTATTATTTAAAAACAGGTATATTATGCAACCAATTAAAAAATATATAATCAAAAGAAGTACAAGAAAAATTCGGTAGCAAAATGCAACCTTACAAATCAGTATTAGCAATTATCTGTACTTGGATTAATACTTAACTTATAAGCTAATTAAATATACATATTAAAGAATCAATATTGTTTGGAAGTCAAAACACACTTTCAGGTTTAAAAATGCTTTATTTACATATATAATTAAATATTAGAAAAGATTTTTAAAAAAAATATTTTTTTTTTACAGAATTGTGAGTGATTCTCTCCTAATTTTATCTTATTCAATGTTTTTAATTGTTCATATTCAAGCTTAAGAAATTCCACACTTGTAAAGTTATACAAGTGTTATCTAAAATAAATCACTTACCAATATCTTGTGCTGTTTTATCTAATTTTTCCTTATTTCTGCTAATTATGATTATGTTCATTCCTCTTCGAGCCAATTCCCGTGCATATGCTCTGCCAATACCATCTGTAGCACCAGTAACAACTATAAAGTAATTCAAACAATGCAATTTTACAATTAAACATATACAGCACATAATTCCAATAAGAATATAAATTAAAATTTTAACTGCATTTAACAACAATGAATTAGTAGAAAGCAATTAAGGACATTTATACATTAAGTTCAATGTTGATAGTTAAAAAACTAAATATACAAAAATTTTATTTCCATGACCTTAAAAAAATCAAAAATGATAAAACAAAATATTATACAATGAAAACAAACTTTAATAATAAAAATAAGCCAAAAGTAAAAACTAAATCATAATAGTAAATTTTTAAAGACTGGAAAACAATATGCTAAAATATATTTTTATTTTGACCTTAAGAATGTTTTTAACAAAATTAATATTTAAATATACCAGTCAAAACACTAAAAATACAATTTTTAATTTACTTTTCCCATTTAATTTAATTTAATATTATTCAAAAAACATTTTTCTCCAGTTATGACAGTATTAACCCTTTGACTACTAATGGGACTCATTTGTTCCAACAAATGTTTAAAAATTTCTAATGGACATAGATATCCCACCATTAAGTACGGCCGGGACATATATGTCCCAGCCTATAAATTGATAACAGTTTGTCATAAAAACCCCCAACACTAAATTTGCCTTATTTGTGACCTATTTTGTCTTTTTGAATAAATAAACGGGACAAAAAAATTCACTTTTTAAAATTCGTAGTCAAAGGGTTAAGGAACTGTATACTAAAATGATAAGTTTAGTGAAAAATAAATCAGAACAAAACTAAATCCTTATTGACCTTGTTCTTAACAGTAGTTTTTTCTATTATCCGCAGATAGCAACACAATAAGAGGCATTTATTACTTCCTCTGGATGATACAAATACATTGATTTACACATTTGAAATGTTAAATTTATTTTATAAATTTTTATTTTAAGTTCGAAAATGTTTTTTTTTATTATTAATGGGTTAAATTTTGGATAATATATCATGGGGGAAAAAAGCGATAAAAGAATTCAATTAAAAATGTGAAATAAGCAAAAAAACAATTTTTTTAAATGAATTTCTGTAAAAAAATTTATTTTCATGTAAACTTTGCAAGTTCAATAGAACTAATTACTTTATGAGTTATTATTATAAATACGTAGTAATAAAACTCAGTTCCTTTAGCTTATCAATACAAGTAAGTTTGAAAAATAATTTGACATTTTTCACTTTTCCAGTAAAAGAATTATAAAAATTTAATCATGTAACAAAAATAATATTAAGATTTTTTCTTATATTTATTGAAATAAAATTTTATTCATAAAATTGCGTCAATTAACTGAAACTATCTTTAAAATAATATACTAGAAGCTTATGTACAATGTTGTTCCACACACATTACGGAATTGTGTTGTTCCAATCACAATTCCATAAACTTTTTTTATTACAATGCAACAAATTATATCATTCTCTCTTTAAACATTGTGATATGATGGCAAAGGAACATTTGCTTTTGCAGCAAGGTTTATTTGTTTTCTTAGGAAGGATGGTGAATATAATACAAATGTTAAGAAGACAGGTAAAAACAAAATTTCATTATTTGGATTAAAAATATACTTTAAGGTATGATGCAAAACTTAAAAAACTTTAATAATTTGTTTTGATAAAATTAATTTTAAAAACTTACTTTGAAAATGTCACATTAACGTCTTTAAAAGTATGCAATTTATGTTAAAAACATTTGAGCTGAGCCATTTTTTTTTCTATATAGATTTAAATCAAAGCTCAGATATTTATTCATGCTAGAAAATCATTAATATTTGTTGGTAAGACTAAGAGTAAAATATTGAGAATAAAAGTACAGTAAAAGAATAAAAGTAATACGGAAAACAAAGAAAATGTGGCGCAAAACAGTCTTAGGTTGAAAACTATAAAAAAATTTTTTTACTTAAAACTGGCATAGAATTGAAAAGATTCTAGAAATTAAGCTGAGGCCCAAAGTCATATACACAAGCGATGCACAACCATTTTTTAGGTAGCGGGTCACAAAAACTAGGAAGTATTACGTTGAGGGCAAGCAATAACAGTAGTCTTATGAAATTCAGGGTGTATTTAGATTCTAGTTAAAAATACTAATATGAATAATGACTTAAAATATTTCATGTAATAAAGATAATATAAATGAAATAAATATATTAAATCAAAAAAAATCTAAACATAGTTGGAAGATTAAAATCAAATTACTATGATAAATAAAAATAAAGAAGGTTAGTAAATTTCACTCAACTCAAAAGTTAATTTTTACTTTTAGTTAGAAACAAGATTTGTTACTGTTCCTCTTATAGTATCTGATCAACGGGATTGGAATCTTAAAAGTAAATGCTTTAATATTTGCTTTTCAAATAAGATATTCCACTCAATTATTTGTGAAAATTCCTAAGAAATTAATTTTTACTGTTAACATTGAGCTATTGCCAAGAACAGAACTTGCAAAATTAAATGGCTATAATCTTGCACTCTGAGAAAGACAGAAACAAATCAGTAACTTTTACTATTAGTTTCTTAAGCTATTACATCTTTTAAACTTTTATTTTTTTTCTCATATTTTTATTATTATTTTAGATTGTTCAGTGGCCAAGTTAAAAGCCTTCAGGGGCCAGAAGTTTTGTATCTCTGATATATACCAAATTTACGAGTGAAAACTACCACTATTAAATTTCTTCAGTCTGAAAGGTTAGTTTATTATGTATACACACATTTATACCTTAATTTTTACATGCAAAACAATAATATTAGTCAATATTTAGGCTAAATTAAACATTAAAGGAGATTAAGTTTTTGACAATAGACGAATTTTCGATGGTCTTATTAATTCGTGGAAATATTACGAAAGTCAATAGTGAAAATTTTTTATGATTTCAAGAGCTGTCAATTTGTACTTAATTCAAGTTGTAATTTGTGTAGCGTAAAAAAAAACACTAAAAATAGAACATGGGCTAAAGGCTTTTATTATTACGCTTATGCAATATTCTAAATAATTTTTAAAACAAGTTTTCGACAACAGACGAATTTTTGACGGTTCTTGTTATTTTGTGCAAATATAATGAAAGTCAAATGTGAAATTTTTTGAATGTTTTCAACAGCTGTCAATTCGCACTTAAAGCGTAAAAAAATACTAAAAATAGAACATGGGCTAACAGTTATTATTAGTATGCTTATAGAAATATGCTGAATTCAACGCTACAAGAAAAAAATAAGGGAAAACCTCGATTAACAACGTTGAAACTTACCTGCCCACTTGCCATATTTTGCAAAGTTCAAGTGCCTGAACCGAGCCAAGACATGTGTCCTTAATCCTTGCAAAACATTCCATGTAAACTGAAATGCAGTTTTACTCACATATATTAAACCAATAATAGCTAAAATATCCTCAGCAACTCGGAAATTTCGGTTTATGCCTTGAAACAAAAACGAAAACTGGTCAACACTGGCCATCTTCCTCAGCTTACCACCACCAACACCGCTTCCCAACAAATCTATCATTTCTGAATGTTACTTTGGCAACGTAACCGGAAGTGCATTTTTGTCTTCGGGACTTTTATTTGGACTCGATTCGCGGCCAAGGCTACGAATCAAACAGGTTTTTGTTTAACCTCATCACTTTTAAGTTCATCAAATTTATTTACAGGTGGTTTAAAATTAATTTCTTTTTAATGGCAATCGAAAATGAAATATTTAATTACATTTGATAAAACATTCTAACTTGGGTATAAATAAGTAATTTTTTTAATTTTTGATTAAAAAAATATTATGTATTTAGTTTGAATTACAACTAATTCGATTAATGAAAATTTTCCATTCAGTTTATTTTTTAGCGTATTTATTAATTATTAAAAGCCAAATGAGTAATTATTGTCTGTAATTAATATAATTGGTAATTTTTACAATAAAAAATATGATATGACAAAAACTTGCCGTTTATATAAAAATTTACTTGTTGAGGAAAAAGTTGTGAATTACTCACATTTAAGATTTTTTGTAAAAAGGAATTATGATAAGCAATTATGTGTTATTAAAGTTTCAGAGTTTTATTTCGAATTTAAATCCAGCAGTTAGTGCCTGTCCAATAGATTTTGTCAATAACTCATAAATGATTAGTGTTTGAAATTTTTAAATTTAAATAAAATTGTTATCTTTCGAATAAGTTGGAATTCGATCGTTTTTATAACAATTACAAGGCAATTTGAAACTTTCAGAGTGTCATTCGATTATTTTAAGGAAGTTAAATTAATGCGTAAAGGAAAATATTGAATTGTATAATTTTCTGAGCATTATACAGACTATACCAGGGGTTTCCAACTGGCGGCCCCGTGGCCCGCGAACTAAAATATATTAGTTGGCATTTTTTTGCGGACAATTTTCGTAAAAAATCTATATGGGTTTAAAATACTTTTCTCGTTAATAAAAACCTAATTTCTTCGTTTCTGTGAAATTAATCATACCAACGGTGCAAAGAAATTTATTTCTCAGGTTTTACACCCAATAAAATATTTATTCAAATACAAAAATAATCGTGCATGTTGCTCTTTTTAATTTAATTTTTTTGTATTTTGTGAACATATTTAGCATGTGCGTATCAGAAATTTTATCGAAGAAATTCTCCGATTCAACTTTTTGAAACCACTCATTTTGGACGAAAATATTTGCACACACATTTGTAAATTTTAAATTTAAAATGTAAATATCTATTCTCTGGTGGTTGCAGCAGACAAACCTCAATTTTCTTATTGAATATTTTGTGTGCTACAATGTAAGTTTTAATTACCAAACTTTTTTAAGTTTTATCTCTTAACAATTAGATATCTGTTACACATTAATTGTTTCATACATGGGTGCACATTATAGTTATTGTAGCCCGAATTTTTATTATTTATTTAATATTTTTAAAAATATTATTAATAACAATTAAATATTTTTAAAAATCTACTTCTTATTTTAATTTGTATTTCAATACTTTTGTTTTGTACATTTTGGTAAAAATCTGACAGTAATATTTAATGTTCCTTCAAACATAAAAGAGTCCTACATAAAATTTTGATAAAGTTGCGGCCCGCCATTTGATTTGTGTTTTTAATTGTGACCCCTGGCCTCATGTAAGTTGGAAACCCCTGTACTGTACTATCTATCATAAGTATGCAGGGTATTTCGAGATTATTGCTTTTAATGTATATTTTTAGAATCCTTGAAAGAAATAAAATAAATAAAAGGTTTCCACATCCACACATTATAATCAAGCATTATTGAGGTTGAAAGAGCAAAGGAGGAATTAAAATCATCAAATACCAAATTATTTATCTAACAGGACTGTTTTACAATTTCCTGTAACTAGGAACCGCCTTTAAATTAAGATTTTTAGATTATTTTAATTCCTGTTTCTTCTTATTGACTTCAATTGATTGCACTGAGAAACATTTTGTTTGTTTTCTGTTGCATGAGATTTTTTAACAAATCTTAGATATTTTCGTGTCGCTTATTTCAAATCTGCAATCTGTTTCTCTCTCCAAATTAAAGTTTTTTGTGGCCTTTTTTGGTATATTTTTTTGTCGAACTATACTAGTTCAAAAACGATCTATAACAGGAAGTCTCATAAATGCTGTGATAAACTTTTAGGGGAGTTAAGACTCATCAACAGGATTAAAATATCATGCGAACCTATGCCTGGAAATGTCATCATACGCCGCTAGGACCGTTTCTTATTATGAACTTTTCTTCGAGTATTTCTGAGCAGATCATAATAGGGTAGTGCCCCTAGCAGCGAATGACGAGATTTCCAAACGTACAGGTTCCTGTGCAATTTTAATCCTGCTGATGTGCCCTAACTCCCCTAGAAATTTGTCTCCACATTTATGACATTTTAAAAAAAGAAAGGAGAAAAAACTATAGTTTTAGGAGCAAAACTAATTTCGAAATTCAAACTCACACCAGAGTTTGACAAGATCAAGTATTTGAACAAATGTAACAAAAAAATTGTTTTCCAGTGTATCAGATTGATTAGTCATAGTTCAAAAAAAATTTTTTTTTCTCTACTTAAATTTTTGATGTTTAATGCACACAGTTTTTATACTTCACCTTTCACGAGGATTGTAAAAATTTATATTAAGAGCGGTCGTTATGGAACACCCTTCATTAATTACCAGTATCTATATATCCCAGGCGCACGCTCGCCATGACTCATAAAAATATGCATCAGGAGATTTTAATTTTGATCTTAATTTTCAAAATTTTAATTTTGATCCTTTTTTTCGAATTTCCATATCTGAAATTTTTTGGTAAAGAAAACATTTTATGCAAACATAGCATCAACTAAAACATTCTTAAAACTCATCCCCCCCCCTATCAATTAGGATTATCTCGTTGCTAGTGCTAAATACTGTATCTGAACTTTTCATTATTTATTCATCGCACTCTGGTTCTTTTTTCATTATCTTATAAAAATTTTTTAAAAAGTAAATAAATAATTATCTTTTTGTAATTCCACAAAAGCTAAAAGTTCTTACGCTACTTTCAATTCTATAACATGCCTGTTCGAAAAAATTTTTGTATATGATGCACATAAAAGAAACAGTGACAGTAGTAAAGGATCAGGACAATATTATGAAAAAAGTAGGTACTAAAAAAATTTTTAAGTAAAAGTTAGAACTATGGCTCTAGGTCGTAATTTTAAACGATTATTTTTTTTTTCTTCTCTCAAAATTGTGCAACTAATAAAAGCAAAATAAAAGTTTATTTTTTTTCACAACTCACTTATCATAAGATTTAGAAATTCATATACCTAAAGAATAAACATTTCAGAATTACCGATTAATTTATTTTTACTAAAATAAATTGAAATACCCTTCTCAAATAAATTTTGTTAACAGTGCTCAAAATATAAACGATTACACCCTAAACAACTTTTGTTCTTATGATCGGTTCTGGTGATGTCGATCGCAATGGCTCAAAGGGGTGGCCGCAAATAAGCAATTAATTAGTGTTAACTGTTAACTAAGTTACAGAATCACTTACAAAATCAGATTTATTAGCAAAAACATGTCTTTTTCGCTTTTTTTTTCAACGGAGTTGGATTTTTTACTTTCAAAATTTGGCGAGTAGCAGTAATCTGAAAAATATGATTTTTAGTCAGGATAGCGATCGAAAGCTTGGTTTTCTTAATGTTAATTTTTCGTATTTTTATCTCGCTTTTTATTTTCGAAATTATAAATGAATTGAAAATTTTTTGCCTGCAATTATAATAAATAATTTTATATATTAGCATACATTTAAAAAAGTACACTTCAATAACTTTTGATCTAATGATCCTGATCGATTTACAAGTTGCAATCCTAATGATTTGAGAGTTTATACTTTAATGTACTTATTAGCTAAGAACGTTTCTGTGTCTGATAACATAACTTATATATTAACAACTTGTTATTTTGTATCAATAACTTATTATTTTGTATCAATAATTTATTATTTTGTATCTATACAACTTATGATTTTGTATCTATAACTTATTAACTTAAATAAAGTCTGCTTAAATTAATTGGTATATTTCTAGTCAATCCTACGAGCCATTAAAATTGCATATTAGTACTGGAAAATCCAACTATTACATTAAAAGTTATTTCAGTGTTTCCGTTTTTTTTTTTTTTTTTTTTTTTTTTTTTTTTTTTTTTTTTTTTTTTTTTGCGCATTGAGCTCGTATTTCTCATTATTATTATTTGTCCTTTTTCTTATTCAAAACTTTGTGCAATTCATAATGCTTGCCGGGATAGCCTGGTTAGTAGGGCACTGGACCCATGTCTAAGAGATCGCGGGGGTGATCCCCGCCGACCGAAGACTTCCCGTGTAGTAAATGGTGACTAATGCGCGTTAAATCTGTCAAGTCACAAAGTCCTCCATGTTCCCATAACAAATCAAACTTCTGGGGGTACTGATCCAGGAGTTTCTTTGTCTTCTGGATTGGTTCAAAATCACAAGGCTACGGAGTTGAACATTAGTAGTCGTAAACACAAAATTGGATCGGCTGTTAATCGACGGTTATCAAATGAAATAAAATATAATATTCATAACAATAGATATTTTTATTTCTGTTACCACGGATATTAGCTGCAGAACTCAACATTTTCCATAACCATGTTGCTTCAAATCCAACCCAGAAGGCAAAGGAACTACTGAATCAAGATTGGTATGACGGAAAATTTTTTGATCGAATTAAATAACCCGCATTTGGGTCATATGGAGAAAGAAACCACAAACACCTCACTTGGTTAGCCATTACTCGGGAATATTTTATGTTAGCACTATTTTCGGAGCTAGTATCACGTGACATACGAATCGACCATCTATACCAGCATTCGAACCTGAGACACTTTACTTTTAGGCAAATAAAAGCAGGCGGCCGGTGCGCATTGTTAACCATTTTTACCTCCATCGTGCCTTTGGTCTCGAAATAGTGGAGCCTTAACCTCTGTGAAATCCTTCATTGGAAACTTGCTGTAGTGCTTTAGTTTTTAATTATTTTTTCTCTCTGAGAAATTTGAAATTCGAAATAAATTTTCGGAACA